CAATTACTAGACGATTGTATCGGTTTGTATCGATAAAACAATTACTAGACGATTGTATCGGTTTGTATCGATAAAACAATTACTAGACAATTGTATCGGTTTGTATCGATAAAGCAATTACTAGACGATTGTATCGGTTTGTATCGATACATAACAATAATATACGATCATATTGGTTTGTATCGATACCATGAAACCAATGCTAGACTGATTTGTGAATCAGGAAAGCAATGATAGGACCGGGAAACATCCTCCTATATAGTACACTGAACATTATCATGACTGTTGACCTAATTCTACATATAACGTCACCTGTCTTTCCATTGTATGCTGTACGACTCATGGCATAACTGGCATAGTGGCGTCTCAAGAGGACGTAAATGAGGATACATATTTGGCTTCAACAGCTGCTTCTTACTCTCCAGGAACTAAGCAAAGCATGTGCATTATGTTAGACGGTACATGAAATATATAATGGCTATTGAAAGACATGCATACGTGACATGTAAGACATTTTATACGTTGTTAAGAAACAACATGTCTCTTTTAACCTCGTATCATTGGGGTTTCTTTTTAATCCATTATAAGTGACCTTAGCGTTTTAATGAACGTCAATACTATTTTGATTTTAATGATAATTTGTATTTGTGATATTCTTTGCTACGAAGGTTGCCGGTTCTGTAAACAGTCCACTCTGTGAAAATTGTTTACGGTGTGCATTAGACGGTCGTTCGTAGATTTAACAAATAGTCAATGTATTTATATCCTGGTCTGTTTCTTAGTGACTATGAATTTTCATATTTATCGACTTAAGTTTTATTCGTATCCTTGTTGATCGATACTTTTTATTTTTATTTTGGGTCTGTACATCTGTACAAGTAGTTGTTTAAACAATAGGAAAAATATGTTTTGTTTCTGTACTGAAATATATATAACGAGGGATACATGTGGTTGTCACAATGGTCAATGTTCATATTGTAATCGATAACATTTTCCAATTACACTTTTTTTCAAAGTGCCAAGACTTCTCGGCCACAGATGTGCAGAAGACGCAAACTGCATTGACATTCCAAACGCCCGATGTAGCGAAAACAACACATGCATTTGCACGTACAAGTACAAAGACACAGACGACAGGACAGCATGTAGCGCACGTGAGTCACTGTGGACAGCCTAGTACTATTTATAGTGTTGTAAGAAGTGATGCCATTGTTAGATGATGTCTAACCTTCCGTCCGTTGTACGTGTATTACCTGTGAATTATTTATCTTATGTACTAATATCCAGGTGCGATCATCGCGACGATAAATATATTTGTACCTTCAACACCTTTGACTCCTTAGAAAAAACATCATAATGAAACACTCGCAGAATACATCCGTACCCAAAAATAATCTTTAGAATTTGTTTCAACGAATGAAAGGAACGTCAGTTTGATGTCACAAAGCTACAGTTGACGTGTTTACACTTACAGGACCCCGGGTATCCATTCCGACTGTCACCGATCTTTGGTTAGGTCGCATTTGTAATCTTGAGGACAAGGAACCGTGTCCAAATTGGAACATCACTAATCAGCGGTGTATGTCAGAGGACGGCAGGGTCAACACCAGGTGTCGCTGTGTGGCGGGTTTCTCTAACGTTTACAACGAAGGCGAATGTCAAGGTAAACACTTTTGTCATTGTAATAATTAAACCAGGCTATATGTGTTTTTTGACGGCAAATATGTTTCAACTATTGACAAACACGCTTATACTTTGTTATTGACAACGAAATATACATTGCACACATGATGTTAGGTAAACTCGGATGTCAAACTATTCTCGGGGGGGGGGGGGACTCAAAACTGTTTTAAATGTTGATACAAAAAGCTTGTATGTCTCGCTGAACAAGCATGCTACAAAAGGAATTAAATACTGTCTTATAATTTCAGTTTAATATTTAATTTGATATATAAACGAACGACTCTGTATTTATAGCTGTCGCTTCACGTTATAAATGGAAACATTGTATGATTGTTTCTAGATTCAAGAGTCGCACTGGAAAAACAAGTAGAAACTAGATAAATCATAGTTACGTATATTGTACATTTATCACAGGATATTATAGAATGCTCTGTTTTGATAAGAAAAACATTTTACTTATTTTTTTCAATGGCCTGGCAATGTCAGTATTTTAAAAAAATGATTTTATTGTAACTATTTTTCCTGGTAAAATGGCCACACATCAAGTGTAACTACATAATTCATTTTCTTGAAAAAATATTACATATACATAGAAAGACGCCGATAATTTATGAATGTGTAAATGACTGCTCATATATAAACAATTTTTGAGTACTTGTTGGCCATGACCCCGACATTTGAACAAACGTCTAACCATACAATAAACGAGCTCACTTCACCTGGCGGAAATTTCCCCTTAACCAATAGCCGGCGCTACATATTGTAACCCGATCCGCTATATAAGTCCTTTTTTCTATAAAACACCATTTTATCTCAGAAATCAATATATATATATATATATATTTATGCCATATTTATACCGATTTTCTTTTCATTTCTGCCATTTAGAAACGCAGACCTATTTCATACAAGTAAATATATCCCATGAACTTGGATGTCTAAAAAGGAAAGACAGAGAGGACAGCGAACGATGTTACATATACCATCCCTTCCGGTATATCAAGCAGTACCGAAACCAAAATACAGGTCACTTCCGGAACCTCAAACTGAGGTCCCAGATTCGTGGGGTGAGGTCATGTTTTCAGTCTTTTTGGATTAATACGAAGCTCAGTATTAATTCCAAGTGTGGAGTGCATTTTATGATGTCTTTCCAAAAAACACATTTAAATCGTCTGCACCTTTCGATAATCACTTGAAAATATCAATATTGTCGGAGTTGTCTATTAATACGCCAGATGCATTCAATGTAAAATGTAGGCTTTAAGAGAAAAACGTCAAGGCATTATATTATGTTGGTGTAAAAGTTGCATGTAATGTGGCTACGATATATACCGAACAAGCGGCGAGTGTTATTTACAAATATGGAAAACTATGATACTTTAACCTGCATGCTCACCCCGGCGGCAATTGATGAAAATAAAGTTGATAACCCCCCTTCATCCTATACCCTGAACCACGAATACATACAGAACCACAATATCAGGGATGGTTTTAGATAAACGGTAACCTTGGTTCAGTTGTCAACATAATGTTCGCATTGAACTCGGCACTATTGTGATACAAAGGTTGATTGATACACGTCCAGACCTTCTCCTGATTATGAAATAAAATTATGCCAGACCTATGGCTAACTAGCACTGCATATACTGGGTAACCGAGATACCACACCGTTGGATAAAAAAGGATGATGAGAAACCAAAATCCTTAATTATATCAATTATAGAATTTCCTTATGATTGATCAACCTAAGATGTGCTAATATTTTTGTATATGTAACCATTATTATATGCCATCAACAATCTAATAACTAATGATATTTTCCGCGTGCATTATTCTGATGAGGTACTAGCATTAGGAGAAAAGATCATCTTGCTCATGTCAAATCCCTTAAAGACAGCATTTTTATTACACGCCTTACTATAATAACATTAAAGATATAACGCAATATCAAAGTCGATAAACGACCACGGTAAGTTAAGAGACATCAAAGAAAAAAAGAAAACAATTATAAGCTCACTATAGAAACTGGAGAAAACAATAATCCTGAAAGGGCAAGCGATTACAGTGCTATACATATACATGTGGTACCCCTATTACATCCTAAGGTGAGTATGTATGTTACCAATGGTGTAAGCCTCACCTAGCACTACGATAAACACTGACACTTCAGCACTGTATATCATCTAAGGACGGCGGTAACATTTATGCAACGTACACCAAATCTCTTTGATAGAAGGCCAATATAAGGAAAATACATGGCAATGTTTTCCGGATAATTTGTTTACTCCTATTCCTGAGCAGTATTAGTAGCAGATCTATCGTGATCAGCATGATACTTAGACTCTTGAACAGATGATATAATGATATGGAGATAAGAAATCTTTGGTTGCTACAAGTCAACTAGAAAAGGAATGATTGTACTACATCGTCAATAAACGACGACAAAATTTGAATTCACGTTCCATGCATAAAGCAACATAAACAAGGGAGACAACAGAACAAAGCAAGACATAATGACATCCAAAGTTGACAAGAGTGCATACTATATTTTCGCAAAAATGTACCGTTTTGGTGGACCAAGTGTATTTCATTTATAAGCATGTAAGGAATGTAGAATTATCCCGTACCATTAAGTTGTATTTAATACGTAAATATATACTGAAGTATTTAAAACGTAAGGATTTCATTAACGAGGTTTACAGATATATTTTGACCTTTTCTAGTGTTTATGTACGTGATTCTTTTTTATTTTTATTTTTTATTTTAGTATATACATGAGTTAAATACTTTTGCTGACCATATAACCTTGTCAGAAGACGCCTCAAGCAATAAGTAACTACACGTGTGAATGACCTTACCGTACATTGTACTTCTCATTCGACAGCTGGACGGTGCCTTCAACCAGAGTGATATCTGGGATCGATACGTATCCAGTGAGGTCATCAATATGACCGAGACCAGGTCCGGTTTCCAAATTAACGCTGTTCTCCAGATCATGGCCGATTATTATACAGTCATGAACGGATCTGAAATACGGATACATCTCGCCAACCACCTCAAAAGGTGAGGTCAATAACGTTTTAACAACGAAGCTTTCTAGTTTCCCTATAATATCAGCAGTAACTATGAACATATAGTTATCAAATACATGTAGTAAGATGAAACTAACAAACCAATGCAGATTGCTTATGAATAGGTTTTAATGGCATACAATGGTCATGGCTCCCCTCAAGAGCTCTGGGAACAGAAGCCCATGCTATCGGTTAATTTGATAAACCACAAAATTGACAATTTGAACTGTAAAAACCATTACATGGGTAACCTAATGTACATGTACTGTAGATTTGTCAGTCAGTCAACACTCTTCAGAAAGCTCAATAGCATAGGAGTAGCATTTCAGGTGTCCATAAAAATATGCCAAATGCCTGACATAAACATATGTATACTGGTAGCAATATTAATCTAAATAAAATTATCGAAGGTTCGTTTAAGAAAACATTCAGGTTTTAAATGACAGAAGTTATTTAAATTTCCTTGAGTCAGGTACATTCCATAATATTTTACATGTACGCAAACCAAACGTAAACTTTACAATCACTCATTGAAATAGTTGAGAAATAAACTTAAAATCTTTAATTAAATATAATAAATATATCTAACATTCCATCTATTACATCTTTAATGGAAAGGTGACAAGCATCTTACTACACAAACAAAACAGGTTTCTAGCGGTGTTTCACACATCGCTATCTCGGTCCCAAACAACTATCAAATCACTGCTTTATACAGTCAGTGTTTATCACTAAAAATGGAAAATGTAAATGACGAGACCTGTTGTGGGATTTATATTGTACATTTTCTAGAACATGTGATGTTGTTGCAACATTCACTCTTTCACACCTTTGTGAGAGCTATCTACAAATGTGAATGCGTAAAAAGTATTATCCACTAACCTTCATCAATGAAAGAATACACAAGAATAAGCTGAAAATTATAATTATAAGTTGTGTATCTATATAGTTTATTCCATGTGAAGATAGCGTATTTTGGTTATATTTGATTTTGAAATGTAAATGTTTTCAACTCAGAAACGACGGAATCCTAGGAACCAGTCAACTGCGCGTCGCCGAACCTTATATAGACAACATTCAAATAGAAGGTAGGTTTTTGTTACTCAAAACGGAAAAGCATTCATCGTACATGTATGGTTCTTCTTTTCGCTTATGCATCCGGATTCTTGGTCTAATACTGCTAATAGTATGTTAGGGACTTTTCCTAAATCCATAACCATGCATATTATAAAGTCTTAAATAGCAAACAAATGTATTAAGCACCATGCTCATGTTCCAATTGAACCGGAAAAGACAATTATATTCCATCACAAAATGCTCCGGTGATTTTTTCTTTCCAGATTTTGACGAGTGTGAAGAGTGGCAGGGCCGCCTGAACGACTGTTCGAAAATGGCATGGTGCATCAATACTTACGGTAGCTTCATGTGTTCATGTTATTACGAGTTCGAGGACAAGTCACTGGATCCGATCAGTCGTCCAGGAAGGGTCTGTGAAGGTAATACTCTAAACTGATAAGATTCTGCATTTATGAAAACCAAATAGGTACTGCTTAAGTAAGCTTTAAAGAATAAGAAGGTTCAGCAAAGGTTAAGTCTCATGTCTAGGAATATTCCGCACACAATAGATCTAACGATTCAGCGGTTGTGCAAAGGTAGATTGTTTTTAACCTGGAAGATTCGACAGGTAAAAGATAACAACAAGGAGGATCTACATGGGTAATATCTAACAAACAAAAAGTTACATACTGGTAAAATGAATCATTTAGGCATGTTTCATATTAATCAGTCACAGCATTTAAAACTCTTTTGCTATCGTAACGGAATATATCAGACAAGAGTTTAGAATTGTATCAAATAGATAAATACTAATAGTTTAGTTATTTGTGATAGATATGAAATAATTCAATATTTCTTTGAACGAAAATACAAATATGAGTTAACGTTTAATAAACTTACGTCAAATATATAAAGTTATTCAAAATTCTTTATTTAAAAGATATTAAGAAAAAAATAGATAAATACTTCTAGTTTATTGTTTGTGATAGGCAAAAGATGACTCAATATTTCTTTGTACGAAAATACAAATATGAGTTAACGTTTAGTAACCTTACGTCGAAAATAATTATTAAGTTATTGAAAATTCTTCATTTAAAAGATATTTAAGAAAAAACATAAAAATGTGGTCCTTTAAAAAAGAAAATTAAAAAGAATGAGAACGAATATGTTAATAAGTATGGGGAGGGGTGTATCCAGCCTGAATATTTTAAAACATGTACACTTTATGTATGGCTCCCAGGATTTTCACTCGTGGTAGGTCTATCTATCGCCAAGTGCTCTCTCGTGGATTTATACAATGTATACATACGTGGAAAGTATAAATGAAGTGAAATATGTTTTGCCTATTATATGAAGCAAAATATCAACTTATGACTGCCCGAAGAAATATTTAGTACTATACGTGTTCTTAACTTGAGAGCGAATGAAATTTCTGTACAGCCATAGTGTCACCGACATTACCTTTAATACCTCAGAGGTGATGTATATTGTAGTGTCACCGACATTACCTATAACACCCCGGATTTCATGTTAGAGGTAGTATCACCGACATAAGTTATTATACCTCAGAGTATGTGATGTTATAAGTATTTCATGTATTGCCGACTTTTTTGTGTAAGGTGTCATTCCCTTTATACCTTTCTTGCAGAACAAACTGAAACAACAACACAGAACACCAGGTAAGTGTGCCAGCTTTAGGTAATAAGGAGGACATAAATTCACCGCACTAAGGCAGAACTTCACAAATACATGTACGTTGGCAGACATGTTTGTTAGAAGAAATACAATCCACGTAGTTATATAACGTATATTTTTACTTTCAGTTTTTTTCTGACATCTAATTAGCAGACCCATGTGTGCCACCAGCATACAATGTATATAAGTATATTTTTATTCATGTCTGGTTCTGGTAAAATGTCAGTCTTTATTTGTAGAAATTTTATCCTAGAATAAATTCTGTTCATCTTATATACATCAAATGAATATGCACGACTTCTTCTTTTAATTCGTCAAACTGACTATTTTCCGCTTTTGCTCTGACGTTGCCATGTGTAAGTCTGAAAACTAAAACACCTCTGCAGACTTCTTCAGAAATATTCGCAGAAATACTAGAAGCTTAATTTGTGATTAGCAGTAATTCAACCCAACTGCATAGGAATAAGAAACAGACGTTTTCTGAATTTCGATAAACTTTCTACCCGATGTATGTTTTAATGCTACCGTCAGAAAAAGAAATACTGGTGAATCAAAATTATTCGTATGTGTTTTATGATTATTGCATATAATCATCTTGATGAAGTAGACATGTCAGTTTACAGAAGTTGCTTTGAGAAGTCAAAATAACTGTATGCTTCAATTTTTGTTGCAGATGCTCTGGTGGATCCTGTAAAACCAGATGGGAATGTGAGTCATTATACAAACTGCTACTTTGAGTAAAATAAAATCCAAGAACAAAGTGATTTATATTTAGTTTAGTCTAATTGGTTACATTAATTGATAAAAGATTTTTTAACAGAGTACTCAATCTTACGATGTTTTGTTGTGCATCCGCGATGTATGTCAAGTTGGATGCATGCTGTTTTGGTTGTTAAACATTGATCATGATATCAATATAATATGCCACTAAATTTCTTTTGTCATTACAGGGGTAGGATTCGCTCTCGTCATGCTGTTCATTGTCCTTATATCATTCCTAGTGTATGAGGTTTATATTCGCAAAAAAGAACTTCGTGAGCAAGAGTAAGTCCGATGTGAAAACATTGATGACATTTGAGCTAAATACAATTAAGTTTCAATAGCATAATAACTCTTTAGTGGCATACATAAGATGTTATATGTAAGGTTGAACAGGATTTATGTACTTAAACATTTTGTACCTTATTCGGTATGCAGAACACCGATTAATGGTATCGTTCTTCACTTTTGGGATGGGAAATCCCGATTGATGGGGTAAGATACCTTAATGTCCTGACCGAGACTAAATATTTAATGTTCTTACCCTGTAGTTTTAGTTTTTTTCTCTCTTTTCTTCAATGTTGGGATGGAGTTTTCTCCCGTTGTTACGGTACAAAATTAAGCCCATTTATGTAACAAGACTTTTTTAAACGTGATGCTATTTGATCGTTTGTATTATGGTGCCACAATGCATTGTACCGTTTCCCGTTGGAAGATGTAGAGACATAGGGGGATGTTTAAACAAATCTTTCTTCAAAAGTGTGGCTGTCTAAAGGGCAAACATATTTGTTCAACCTGAAGAAAATGTTTAGAAATATTTGTTCACATTTAGAAACACGTCGAAATGAAGACATATATATGTGTGTGTAATATGATATATTAACGACGCTTTTTACCTCACTATCACACACATGCAGAAACATTTTACGAATAAAGTGTATATCGTAGTAACATGAGAACTATTGGTATTCTTTAGAGACCCTGGCTATTCAAAACTTAAGCGAGGAAGATCGCGAAGATCTCGCAGAAGTCGGCGAAGCAGACGACGTTCACGAAAATCCATTTCCCGACATAATAGAGAGTCTGATGGCGGGAACAGTGACTGTGCTATAACTATTGATCAAGACATACCGACGAAAGGTAAAAAGACAGCTAGCATACACAGACCCCAGCAAATTCCAATTGTTGCAATATTTGGCAGGGGCCGAAGGCGATTTAGCTTAAATCAGATATTGCTTAGTAAGATTTATATGTAATCCAATTCGTTATTTAATCAGATGAGATGAGATGATATTGTAATAATTTGTAAACAAATATTTTATACTTTCTAGAAATATTCAAAAACCAGAATCCCCTAAAAATGTGTTTTCGTCAATCTTTGATATCTCTTTACTTTAAATTTTCCCATGGAAACGTCTTTTTTCTATATTTAGGTTCATGTATTGTTGTTTAAAAAAAGTGTAAAACAAATCCATCAATGTCGTTATTTAATGTATCGGTATTTAATGTCTCATTATTTTTTTCCAGATGAAAATCCCCCAACATATGGCACAGGTGATTCCTAGCGATTACCTTGTTACTAAAATTAAAACCAAGCAACACAAAATGAACCGTAATTCCGACGAAATTGGTACGTGTATATTACAATGATTACGCACGGTTCTATGCTATGTTGTATACAATTTGCCTGTAAGGAACCATCTATGGGAAGTTTCTGAGAATTATTTGCCTGAAGAGACCAGCGATATGTTGGATAACTACCTTGAATATAGTTGTCACGAACGGAATCGGCAAAACCTAGACCTGAGCGTGTCTGCTAAGCAGTCTCCTAATAATGTTTAAAATAGCTACACGATGGTAATCAAACACTGACATCCGGTCACAACCAAATCGCCACAAGCATACTATAATACGTTCCTGGGTTTTACGGACAATGATCGGGAGTTCCTCTGCTAAGCTATCATTGCCCAGCATATTGACAGTGGTCGCATCACAACTACATGTACCGTTGACTATCATATATATAATCAAAATCCCGTCAAAAGTGAATGAATACTGGTCACTTCCTGACATTTTATTTTAATAAAGTGAACGTTAGATGCTACCAGAGATAATCCTTTGGGAACATCATGTCCTCGATAACCAGTCAGGAATCTAAATCTTAACAGAGAGTAAATACTCCAACTTTTCAAATCAATGGGACGGCTTTCCTTGCCTAACTGCTCCAAGGAACCATTTGATGATTATGCTGCCTGAAGGTATACAGATGACGTTAAACGATCTTTTCATCGAGGTGCTCTAGCTGAATGTATCCCAGCGTAGTATCTGCTTTAACAGACTATGGTAAAATTAGTCCTCTCAAAACATTGGATGCTAGTCAAACTTTGTAATATTCCGAAAGTTTGGTGTTACCAGTATCAAATTACGTCATTGTTTAGAATCCAATGATTTTTTTTCCTAATTTTAAGTTAACTGTTATAAAATGAAATACGAAAACGTTTCAGATGTGTTTGATGTGAGGAAAGACAAAAGTAATGTAAAAAGAGTGGAAAGCGTATTGTACAATGTGTGAGCGAGAAAGAGCAAACATGCAGTCACTGATTAATAATATTGAGGAGGAATTAATTCACTGCATCATTTATGTTGTATCACTAATGTTAGGCGGTCAGCAGTTCATTTCAGTGCTACACTGATCTTTGTTTGAAGGAGAGGGATATTGTTACTGTGCAAAGACAAAGAAAGAGAGAGAGAAAGAGACAGACAGACAGACTGAAAGAGAGAGAAGAAAAAGGGGAGAATAGTTTGTGTAAAAAAATGAAACAATTTTCATTCCAAGGATATATACCATGTATGTGTAATAAAAAACAAAGTCCTCGTCCGCTTGTGTTTTTCCGTTTTTGTGTAGTCTCAATATATTGTCAATGTTGATACAAAACAAACCATAGAAAGCAAAAGAGAAAAAACATCATGAACTCTTACGAAAATATTTAAGGCTGAACATTCGCTACGTAATGGTATTACCCTTAGACCCGTTAGTTATCTCGAGTCGTTAATAATCGATATGAAAAGATTCAACAAGTAAAGATACACCAAAACAAAAGGGAAACCACCATGAATCCCTTTTAAAGTCCAGACCAGGAAAGTGGTGTACTCGCACTTACTGCTCCTCATGTTGCTCCTCATCTCTCCACTGAGGCTTGAAACATGATAAAATCAGAGATCTTAGTGCTGCAAAATATGATCCGCATATAGTCATGTATCTTAGTGTGTCATACTATTTTTGTATGATTAAAGTGAAAGAAGGTGAAGTCAAATTAAGTCATCCGGAGACTCCTTTTCGCATATTCTTCTATTTACAATCGTTGAATTACCCATTCTGAGGTTTTCATTGCCTTAATTTAATTATCTAAAAGGATTCAGAGGGCCTAGTAGGAGATCAGAATTTTGAAATCGGTTAATATTTCGTTCACGCTGTTTCAGAAACATACAAAAAATTAGGTAAGACAGTCTGTATTTATGTTGACGTCATGAAAAGAAAGTGCAGATGGAATTATACATCTCTTAATCGGCTATACAACAGATGAATCAGCCTATAATGTCTTTGTCGAACTATTTACAATATAATACACGTTCTTGGTACCAACCTTTTGTAGCCCAACAACCCCTATCGGGTTTCAATGCCTGCTATAGTTAACGATATATTAAAGTGTATCACATTTTTTTACCAGATGAAAAAATAGCTGCTGCATCGGTCAGAGACAACTATTTTCCTTGCTGTGGATCAGAGCCCATAGTTTCGTTTCCAGAGTTGTTGTTGGCGTTCATGTTAAATGACGTCTCGTAATTTACTTCATTCAAGTTCTAAAAATTGTGTCACATTCCATTCCAAATATAAATTACCAACATCTGTCAAATGTTTCATGAACAGCTTGTCAATCTTACACAACTGAATTAGGATCATCTGTAAAGCATCGACATTGCAAAACCCTCTTTGAGATTAAGTATAACATTAAATATTTCATATTTATGCAAGAAATACTTTTGAGTTTGACAAAAATCGAATTTGAGCCTGTGGCATACAATCAAATCATTGATGGAAAAGACGTTGGCCGGGAATGAGGCCTGCTGAGCTTATTAACCAAATTGTCTTTGTTAAAATCCAAACGTATTGAAAATGTTATTAAGAATGTTTCATCTTTGTAAGTTTAACAAGTTCAAAAAATGTTTCAGTACTAGCTGCACTTTTAAATTTTGAAATAAACATGAACTGTCGTGACAAACGTGACAAGCGAACTCTATCGCTCAGCTGTATCCCACTTAATGTGAAGTTTAATGGCAAAATTCTTTCATATGATGTTTTATTTTTAATTCGTTCTCATTTCGTGCACTAGATCGTCAAAGTCGCATCGGGGTAAAAACAAATTGCTCTGTTCATCACACATGATCGTTCTCTTATCATGTGGTAAGTGGACACGTTATATCCCAAAACGTTGGTGTTTGAGAGAATAGCCATAGAATAGTCAATCAATGGAATGATGTAAACAGCACGACTAGCGCTGGGTATTCACCTCATTACTACATCAACGGGTTTCAGGTTCATTATAACTTTGATTAAATATGGACAGAAAGGATCATATTATGCTCATCTTTACTCTAACGATATTGCACGTTAAGTTATCAACCGACTTTACAGATCATATTTCTGCTTGTCAACGTCATACCAAATATCAAACAACATTGTTTCGTTTGATGACAATGAAATCACGGGGAAATGACCATTGGTGTTACAAGGACTATACGGACATAGCCAAAACAACGAACCCAATGGATATAAATGGGTTTTTGGGGTTTTTTCCTACATATTTAAAAAAAACACTTTTTTTTACAAAAGACAGCACAAAACAAATTGCATATATTCTTGCTCTCGTACTATGGATATTTAAGGAGAATTTTTGACTTCCTATCCGAGATTTGCATTACACAAGTAGTACCTGTATATTTTTGACCGTCAAAATGGATACAAAATGACATATTGTAACAGCATGTGTCATCGGTAGTGCATCACTAATATTTCCTTGGCAGAAACAAACTATGCTGGATTGTTTATTAAACATTACATGTATTACAGGCTAAGAAGTTTTACGGCACGGCCGTTAGTGAGGGCGAAGCAAGGTTGTACTGTAAACTTTCAAGCATTGAGTGATGTGTTGAATTACTAAATCAGACCTACATGTATAGCTATACAGTGTATATTACAGTTAGGTTTCCTTCCTTGATTTCTTTTTGGCTGACAAGGTGTTTGATATCTTGAAGTTTTCCGCCTAGGCGTATGATGACATGACATTAATATGAGAATGCGAAAGGTTCATTAGACTCTATATAAGTATTTAAATTTGCACCTCTTGAATCCATTGCGAAAATCAAGTGCAGCATATTCTATAAAGACATTGAAATAAAACATATTAGGAAGGATATTGTTAATCATGTATAATAGCATAGTTATCTGATATCCACGAAAAGATATATGTACATGTATATATCTTTACGAATAAGCCCTTTGGATTACTTCAAACTTAACTTCAATGATTTATAAATATTGTCTCTAGAGAGAATTTATGCATAGTATATTACAATTTTTGTGCTTTTTATGTGTAAAAAATAATTTGTTCAATGTTATAAAAACTGGATTTATATGAAGTTTCTATTAAAAATAAGAAGAATATGCGAAATCACAACTTTTGTCATTTTTCAATACCCATCAGCCAAGAGAGTCAATAGATCTATATATCATATATGTATTGTGGATGAATACATTTGTTTCAGCAACTTACGGTCTATATGCTTTATATGTCTCTGCTTTATGTATAGTTTTAGCTATAGAGAAAATGTTTTGTTTCCTCAATTAGAAATTGAATCAGTTCAGCACATATAACTACAGATTTTTTTTTTGAAATCGTGCAGATTTGTTAAAACAGCAGATAATCAAAAATGAAAATGTTACAGAATGGATTCAATTTTTTGCGTCACTGTGATAAACTCCCTTTTTGTTGACAACCAGCACGTTGTTTTGTTGATATTCCGTTTTCTAAATATATACCACTGCAATCTCTACCCAGAGTTGTCGTATGAGTGCAAGGACCGTAACTCTGCGTGATAGTCTCGTTCAACCAGACCCTTGTTGTCTGCGCAAGCGTCTGATTGATCGAGACTACACACTGCCAATACAATCATTTTTCGACCATTCAGAACTAGAGCAATGTAGCCGGTAACGTTATGTCAAGAGAATTTACATCTTTAACCGGAAAGGATCAAATATTTAAGTATCCTATAGTAAGATATAAGTTTTAAATCTTACAAAAATGTAACGTTTGTTCGAGATTAGGCAAACGAGAACTTGTTTCGAGATCAAGATGGCGGAGACTACAGCGCGTGCGACTGGCAGCCATGTTAAGACAAGTTTTTCAGTTCCATAGGTATTGTGAATAATCTTTATTTTTCTTACATACGTGTTACCTATAGGGAGAGCTTTGCTCCCATCGGGCCCGTGAGAGAGCTCCGCCCTCTATCATTATATCTTTCTTTTTCCCTCGACTTCAGGAAGATTTTAGATTAATCACTCCTTTCATTAACACCGGGAATGAAATTTCCCTTTTGATCAATATTGGCCCAAAATGTTTTTTTTATTGAAATCGATGAAATATTCTATCAGCTCATCAGTGTCCTAATGGGAACTATCTGCACACAATTGTTAGCCGTACTGTCATGTATATGAATCTGAATCTATACGAGGGCTATCTATAAAGGATATAAGATTATTACACAATCCTTTCAATTCTATTTCGATGTGATGATGTTGCTTTGTCACTGGTTGACAAGCATTGGGGAGATCTGCCTTTTTCTTCATTCTACTTAAACATGAACTTTAATTTTCTACAGACATCCCATTTTCAGATTCATATCTGGACATGACAATACTGTTCACCTCACTACCAAATATGACAACTTCTACAATACCTAACTGTTCCTCGTATTGGCTTTACATGTCAATTTGCATTGGTTGTTTCCAAGGAAAGAAACAGGAGTTAGACACGAGAATGCCTACAACTAATGAGTTGGATCGATAAGAATGCTGTGTTTGTTTCATTCATATCTCTGGCTCACGTTTTACATCGTCATTACCTAATTCAGATTTCACAATGTCTGAAAAACACATTGCATTAGCTTGTATTCATGTATGATTGAACAATAGATCATGTGTATGTATATATTATTTTCTAACAGACCATGCACGTGCGACGCAACGCCTTTCGAAAACCTCATCCCCAAATATAAACAAGCGAGCTGCATTAGTGGTTTCTTTGTATGTATTTCATAGAGGACAAACCAAATCAATTGTATGTTACCTCTAGGTCTACTTTAAACAGGTTTAACTCATAGAGTGAAAACAAAATCAAAACTCCTTTCCAACAAAAATATTGAGGTTGAATGGACAAATAAGAAAACTGTCCACAGGGTCAAAAATGACCAAAAACGTGCCGCTTTTTGGAAAGAGAGATAGGCATCACGTGACAAATGTTTGTACGCTCTTAAGTACAGCCTAATTATATTATTTAGGTCTACTTGCTTATTATAGGCGTATGGACACTGAGATATATGGAAAAAAGTCTGTCATTACATTTTGCTAGGAAGAATAGTTATATTCAGCATATATTTGAATAATATGGTGAAAAAAACAACTCGAAATTCGACAATGCTAGGAAAATATTCAATTTAGGCCGCAAGTGGCCTTCGTGAAACTTTTAAGCATTTTTACCCTCGTTATATATTCCATCACAATATACGCACATACATGTATGTTAATTATTTCTTAAAAT